TAGTAGCAAGAGGGAAACGCAAACCTGACAGACACTGTAAAGATGAGCAGCTAGGTAGACAAGGAATTGCGCACCCTCCTTGTCCTCGTAAATGAAGAGGCCATTAACTGTTAGATGACAGGAATGGTGAAGAACGGGCCTGCTTACGAGAGAATTGCCGAAGGACTGACTAGCTGCGGCTTCCCTCCCATGTCACTGTTTACGTCACACACTGAGCTACACGTTTTGTTACTTGCTCACGCCCCCATTGCCCCGAAAAAGGCACATTCTGTATAAACAAAAGTAGTTAGGCGGCATTTTGCCGCACTCCCCGATTTTGTTTTTATACTGCCAATGCCGAAAGAAGACTGATTGGGCTTTCCTGCAAATTTGCACAGTTCCTATCTAAAAAGGGCTATAGAGACAGACAACCATTCACACTCACATTCACACCTACGGGCAATTTAGAGTCACCAAGAGTACCATGGGCATCTGTGGTTTGCTTTCACGTTTGCTTAACAACCCAGTCTCAGGACCCAACAATTATCGACTTTCACCCGTAAGGCCCGTGGTCGCTTCCTGTATGATTGTAAAGCCCAACCCTGCAATTTTTTTTCCAAACCCAACCATATGCCTTGATTGTTAAAGGGAAAAAAAAATGTTAGTTGGTGGTGTTGTACGATGCAGTGCATTTATTTTGAAAGAGACTATCCAAATTGTACATTTCCTGTGAAAACACAAGTGCACTTTGAAAAGACGCTATGAATGTAACAGGCTAAAGCTGACCATGTCTCCCAGAACGCCAACAACAGATGCACCCAGACTACCTTGCATGTAATACGCAGACGTGAAAAGTCCACAACCAAGTGGCGATATGTGGCAAGGTTGGAGTGCAAATGTGTTGGAAATAAACATGATACAAAATAATCATAAATCAAAGGTCCACTCACCAGCTTATTGAGCTTTCTGCCGCCTTTCACGATGCACTAAAAATTGTACTGTAAAACTGCATGTTCCAGAAACAATTGTGTAGTTTCTGTATTTGCAGTGCATTTTCCTGCCAGGTGTGTGTTGTCAGATCAGTGAATGTGTTTGTTAGTTTGACTGTATTTTATTTATCTGCTGCGCAAAAAAAATTAACATACGTTGATAAACCCAAAGATATTCGTTTTACAATGATATCAAACAGAGAAAAACAGCAAATTCAAACATTTGTTATGTTGGAACCAGTGGACTTTTTGACTTTGTGGCTTAAAATAACTTGAAACATTGTTGTTGATTCATTTTTTATTTTACTTATTTATTTATTTTTTACTTTAAACTTTCTTCATGGAGTTATTATTACAGCTTCACAAAGTTGGCATCCACATTTTTTAAAACAGAAGTATTTCACTGCGGATGGTCTATTCATAAAACTGTGCTGTCTATGTAGTAAAAAGACATTAATACTTTTGACACTGATACTACATGAAAAAAGAAAACAGAAGACAAGGGCTGAGACATTTGCTTTTGCACATAGTCTGGGGCCGTTAGTGGCCGTTTTGGTAAGGAAACGGAACTCGATGGATGTGCCTTTCCGTAAAAATAATAGCACCAAGCTAATAAAAATACGGTGAAACTTTTAATTTAAAGAATATAATTTACAAGAAAAGCTCCAAGCCATTAAGTTAATCGATTTTCTTACACCCCTCATCACCCCAAATCGATGGTGCGCCAGAATTTAAAGTTTTACTATGGTGAATACTTTTAGTTTGGTGAATCTGGTGAATACCGCATCCGGTCCCTAGACCGGAACCAGAATCCAGATAAAATTCAGAGTGATGAGAGGCTATTTTGCACGAGAGGTTAAAAAAACTACAACTACCAGAATGCTCTGCCGCAACGGACCAATAAACTCTACTGCTGGGCAGCGACATATAGTGAGCTTGGCCTTTTCAGCACAGGAAACAAAATGGCAGCTGGTGGGAAACAAACGATATCAAATTTCAGTTAAACTGTAAGCTGAAATATGTTAATTAAAATATTTTAGTGCAGAAATGGACATCACAGTAACAGAATATTGGTTCATATTCGATCAACACCGCTTAGTTTTACCGTTTGATTCTGTTTTCAGCCTCCGTTTTTGCAATACAGGAAGCAGTCCTGCGCTCACTTCCGGTTTACAAATTCTCGTATTACAGCCAAATATTCGATTAAAATTTATCTTTGATGGCATTTTCGGCAAAAAAAAAAAAAAAAACAAAACGCAAAATACCAAAAGAATATTGGTTTATATTTGATCAGCACAGCCTAGTTTTACAGTTTAACCAGGTCTGAGTTTAAGAAAGACAGAGCTGCGGGTTTCTCTCTTGATTTGCTTCTATACTCTTTGTGTCCGCGGTGGCGGGTGACTAGACGACATATCTATGTAACGTTAAGCAAATTTATAACATGACTGTAGAGAGAATTCAATGGAAGACACGAAGGAGCAGCGTTTACTGAATTGCAGAAAAATATTTCAGCTTGTTTTCAACTTCCTGGTGAGTTCTGATATCTGTCAGAGGCTGAGCTAACACACACACACTTATGTTGTTAGCTAGCCATGACAAATGTCTGCACAGTTGGTACATTGGTTTATCAAACACAGACTGTACAAATAGCCCCAACAATCTCAACATGCAAATCACACAAGGAAAAAAAATGCTTTGTGTTCTGTCTTCTGAACATTCCTTGTTATGAGTGAGCTGAAGTACATGTCTAATTTTGCTGTAAGTTTCCCTTCAATGGACTAAATGCACCACCAAGGGACTGTTCTTTATTTATCAGAGGTGTTTGAGGTGTGTCAAAGTTTTTTGTTAATTTACGTTGACCCTCCATGAAGCTACAGATATTTTTCCTTGAGCCTCCCTGAGTGTCTGTCAAAAAAAAAAACCCACCATCTTTCTACCATAAGTTCGTTTTTTCGATTTTTAAAACTTACCATTTGATGTTTGTGCATGATGTGTTCAAGGACTGTTGTAAATTTGAAAATACACTGATAATATCTGTTTTTACAGTTTCTGGCTATGATAAATAGTGTAATATTATCGATTAGGGGTGTTTGTGATAATACTGATATAATTTTTAATATCATGTGAAAAATTCATATCCTGATACTGGTGTTATTTCGGCTTGTTGACATATTGACGTCATACTGTTACCCACGCAGCAACAAGCAATTATTACAGACTCTGCAGTGGTTCCAAAAAGAGGAGCAGCTTCAGCAGTGTGGAATAAACTGTGGCGTCCTGAATGTTTTATGAACAGCCCCGGACTTCTCAGACTCTTTTAGTGACTTACTGCTCAGAGGGAACTCATTCAGCGGCTCCTCTGGCAGCAGCACAGCATCTCTCCCTCTCCTCTCTCGATGAGTCGGTGTCATCAAGTGATTTTGTCATAAACCTTTGGTAATGTAAACCTACGTGACGCTCACAACTCGACAAAAACTCCATATATGTGAATTTGTGATAGTTGTGGTATCATAACAGCCTGTCAGGTTACAGCGTGATGATTAGAGGAGAAATGGCAGAGCATAAAGGTCCAGGTGGAAAAAACAACTCAATCATTTAGGATTTTACTAAAAGAAGGAAATCACCTATTGATTTATATATATATAGATCCCAGGTGACATTTTTTGTATTTGGGAGCTGTTTAAATGTGTAATTTGTGGCAGATTTTATTTAGTTGAGCTATTAATATTGTGACAGAATCTGAATCTCACTCTGAGTTACTGTTGTTGTTCACAAACTAAAGAAATTAGATATTTTTTGTTTAGTTTTTACTGAATATTTGAAGATAAACTGTGAAACTATATCACTTATTTTGCTGCATTTATATTTTCTAAAATTAAAACTTGCTTGTCATATCATCAAGAATATCTTTATCGCAAAAATACCCTGAAATATCATAGTATTATTTTAGGGCCATATCGCCCACCCCCACCTCCTCCTTCATAAATTACAAACAGCCTTGAAGATCATTGCAATATTTGCTTTGTCTCTTTGTTAGACTGCTGGATTGTGAGTTCTCTGTCAATACTCCGAGGTAAATGAGATGCTTGTTGGTCTATTTACTTTATAAAAATGCATTCACAGTGATAAACAATGGACGGAGCCCGAGGGGTCCAGACTGGAAAAATGCTATTAATAGGATTCATTTTGGACCTGTTGATAGTGAAGGGGAGATAGGAGCTGAAGCAGCAGAGCAATACAGTGAGGTGATTTAAGGAAAAGAAGGCAGGATACGTGACAGGATGAAGGTGAATAATACAGAGAAAACGGGAGCAAAAGTGGGCTGGGAGAGGAGGAGGGGTTGCGCTGAAGTGAGCGAGAGGGAGGAGAGGAAGGGATGCAGGCTAAATCCTCACACCATTATTATCAGGATTCACATGCAGCCCCTCCTGTGATGGAGTGAGAGGAGATAGAAAGAGATAAAGAAAAGATGGAGTTAAAGAGGAAATGGAAAGCAGGATTACTGGTGTGACAGCACCGGCAGATGAGCGGCGGCGCAACGGTGAGGGAGAGAGAGAAACTCTGGTGGAAAGAGAGGAGAAAAAAAAACCAAATCAGTGCAACAGGATGAGGACCTGCTAGTGCACAGCCGGCCCCAACCCCGCAGACCTGCCATCTGTCCCGCTGTTCTCTCCGTGTCCCTGACGCTCCCACCATCAACCAACATCTGGATCACCTCGCATCCATATGGGAAGGAGGGCGAGGGGGCCAAATCTTATCCTCCTCTCAACCTTTGTGATCACTCAGGACCTGAGGAGGCTCGTCATCACCGGGGGGATCCCTCGCTGCGGAGTACCATCACCTCAGGGGCTGATAACAGGACCAGAGGAGGGTGAAAACTTTTGCTCCAAAGATGCAGAGGCGTGTGCAGGACCCTTCCTCGTCTGTGTGTGAGATTTTCTAACTTCCCATGGATCTGTCGTGTCTCTTACCCCCGAGCAGGGAGAGGGAAAAGGAGACAGAGGAGGTGGAGAGGGGGAGAAAGGAGGAGACGGCGGGGAAGCGTCACTGCCGCCGCTGCTGCTGAAGTGTTACCGGCGTTAGTGCTCCTCCGCTGAAGAGGCATTTTATCACTCTTCCTCCCCCCCTTTCGCTCCTCTCCTCATCCGACCAGCGGGGAGCCTGAGGGATACAGACAGAGAGCTAAACACAGAGGGTTTATGCACACAAACACACACGCTGGCTGGCTGGCTGCTCTTCTGACGGGCTCCCGCACACCTCTCGTCTTCCCTCACTTTCCTCTCCCGTCTTGATGTCCTGTCCTCACCTCCATGACCACTTGTAAATCTGTGACACACAGAAAGGGAGAAAAGTGAGAGAAGGGGGCGAAGAAAGTGAAGGAAAAGAGAGATTTTTCTTTCCCACATACGCTCGCTGTCACGTTGTGAAGTCCTCCAGGGGAGTGTGCAGACATCCAAAGCTGCCAAACACACACAAACACACGCTTGCTCTCACACAGAGACTCGGTCTAAATGCGTACTCCTACAGGTGCTGAGGGAGGCAGGTGAAAACCAGGTGGAAAGGAAACCTAAACCGAGACAGACATTTGGAGGAAAAGCAGCCGGGGTGCGATGGAGCAGCAGGAGTTCAAGTTGGATGACGGCAGAAAGCACAGGTAAGTCTGTCACACACACACACACACACACACAGACACACACTCTGTCACCTCGTCTGATTGCCATTCAGGAATTGGTGTGATATGGAGCGGTAGATATGAGAACAAGAGGCTCAGGGGGAATGTGACACGCAGCACGAGCGCAGTCATACTTTCAGTTTTCATAAGTGAAGAGTTTCCTCGAGAGAAAGCTCCCATCTGCCGCTGACAGAAACAGAACAACCAGTTGTTATTATAACAGGAACGACTAACGACTATTTGCATTTTTTACACTGAGGTTTAGCCGCCTGTACAAAGTGTGTAAGTGTGTGTGTGTGTGTGTGTGTGTGTGTGTGTGTGTGTGTGCACAATCCCTCCACACCTGCGCGCACTCTCACTCAATATGACTTATGGATTATAGATGTTACAGTTGCAGTGTTTTACTGTCGCATCAGTTATCTGGTAATGCTCATTGATTTGTCCCGTGAGCTGCACGCAGACGCTCTTATTTCTCTCCGTTAGTGACAGAAGCTTTCTGCTCCAGTTTACATATATCATGTTGCAGCATCATGTTTCTTTCATTCACAGTAGCGTAGACTGGCGGTTTCTAACATGGGGTTTGAGGGCCCACAAAGGCTCACAAGGGAAATGCGTTGGCCAGTGAAAGTAAAAGTAAAAGCCGACCTCTGATTCTTTTTCGTTTGGTGTTTCGCTTCGCTGTATTTGCGTTATCTTTCTTTCTGTGTCTCTTGGATGCGTGCTGCTTACCGTCTGGCACCTGGTCGCTACCTTTTTGTAAATGATTACCGACACCGCAGTGGTTCCAGAAAGAGGAGCAGCTTCAGTAGTGTGGAATAAACTGTGGCGTCCTGAATGTTTTATGAACAGCCCAGGACTTCTCAGACTCTTTTAGTGACTTAAAGAGGGAACTCATTCAGCGGCTCCTCTGGCAGCAGCACAGCGTCTCTCCCTCTCCTCTCTCGCCGTGCGCACACAGGAGACATTATCGTGATATCGCCCACCCCTAGTTCACAGTAAGATATAAGTGGACCAGCGGTTCCCAACACATGCTCCCAAGATAAAACTAAAGGGTCTCAAGATGATTCAAGATAATAGAAGACAAAAAAACACATTTATTTTGCACAACATAATATTTTTTATGTCAAACTTTTGTCTAGTATTTGTGTTTTTGTGAAGTACTGGCCACTTTTGCCTCTTCTGGCTTCTGAAATCCGCTCACAGACTGCAAACTGTTCCAGATCAAATATAATATTCACATCCTCCTTGGATGGTCCCATTTCCCGAGTTGGGAAGTCGTTCTTCCGACTTTATGTCATACAAAGACGATCACTCTCCATGGACAGTTGCAACCTGATACCATATTCAAAATTACATGCAATATGTGAAGTATTAAAAACTGTGTTACCGTCAACCGAGCATTCACTTTCATCTGCCATGTTTCTGCGTTTATTACGTCAACTCATGTACCAACATTTTTGCAGGCTTTCTGAGTTGTTGCTCCGACTTCAGGGGGTGTTCACACAAATTTTCCAAGTAGGGAAATCACCACATGAATATAGGAACAGTCACACAAACCATTAGACCAGTGGTTCCCAACATGGGGCTCACTTTTCCCCCCTCAAGTGTCAGAAAATGCTTCAGATGAAACTAATTGAAAAACACGGAGCTGTTCACAACTCATATACACACTAATTAGAGGTTGAATGAGGCTGTGATTTGTGTTCAAGGCTCACAATCTAAAAAAAGGTGGGAACTCTCGACACAGACAATTTGTGTGTAAACGTGTGAACAACTACACACTTGCATCACTTCATGTATGTTTCAGTCAGCCTGCAGGATTGGGATTGGGTGTCACTGACAGTTCGATTGCTTTACGTTTGATTGGCAGCGGGCCAAGCCGATGTAGCAGCGCCCTGTCCCGTCAACGTCACTCATCTCGACTGATACGTCCGGCCTGCAACGATTTCCTGTAAAGCTGTCAGGTCTTTATGTGCGGGAGGAGGACCCCACAGAGAGACGGGGTTGCGACGTTAGCAGTTAAAACCCCCTAATTATGATGAATGTATGTGGCAGATGTTATGTGGTATGTTTCATAATAAGCTTTGGGTTTATTCATATTGAGGGTTTAATTTGTATGTGGAAGCTTTATTAGCTGCGTGTGTGTGTCGGGGCATGTGTGCATACATGGACCTGTGAGAGCTGCACTCACCATTTAACTTGTCCTCCACAATCCATCAGTGTGGAGCAGAGGCGGAGGGATGAAATGAGGGAACAAAGGGAGGAGCGTTTGAGCTGGTTGACGTTGACAGAGTGTCTCTGTGGTGTGTTTACTGTCACATATACATAACTGTTAATGTAAGTGTCTTTATGATGACTTCAGGGAAAGAGTGATGGAAGTGCTTTATTAAGCGGAGTCACATTAATCCAAAGTGTGCTGGCATGTATTGACGTTCCAACCAATTAATTACATTTTTGTATCCGCATGTCGACCAACACGAGACAATGTAGTGTTGTCTGAGGGAACGTACCCATTTCACACATCCATTACTCATCCGTGTGTTAATGGAAGAATGCTGAAAAAGCAAACTCACCATTAGGAAGTTGTAGCCTGATAATGAGACTGAAAAGGCATTTAATTTTCCCTTCATTTTTAGGAAGTGATTCAGAGGAAGTGCTGCAGGAATGAGTCCTAGAACCCGGAAATGAGTTAGCATTTTTGCACTTCCGGTTCCCTCGTCTCTAACTCAGTGGGTTTTTTCAAATGTATTTTTAGTTCGATGCCTGAAACACAAGGTTAAGAGACTTACACATTTTGTTCTATGACATAAAATATCTCAGTAAATACCCCACTCGTAAATTTTGAAGCAGAACATGTCTTAAAAAGATGGTTGCTAGCAAGTGGCTAACTATGGGTGCTTTCAGACCTAGAGTTGTCTTGCTTTGGTCTGAATCAGGGACTAATTTTGTTACACAGTTGCATTATTGCCTAGAGTTGGTTCATGTTGTCACGGCAGCATTTACAAGCGGACCAGATCAAATGCCTTGCGTTAGAAAGCTGCTCTTGATTGGTCAGAATTTCCATGTGGGAAAAATCCAGGAAGTAAAGCAAACGTTGAAGAAGAGTACACTTGCAAGATAAGTGTGACACTTTCTAATGTCACAATGGAGGGACAACTACGCAGGTTGATTTTAGCGCTGCTCATCGTGGACTATATTGCTGTCATTGTTCATTTTAGTCAAACCATACAGTTTGAAAACGAGGCGCGGCTCCAACTAGAAAACAATGTTTTGATGC